TGGGATCCGAACCCGTGGCCTTGGTGTCATCAGCACCACACTCTCCCGAGTGAGCCACGGGCCGGCCCATAAAATAAAATTTAAAAACAATAAAATAAAATTTTAATTTAAAAAAGAGAGAAACAAAATTATACACGTGGCAGTGACCACACACCAGGAGCCCTGCAACAGTGTGTCACAGGTGTCGTTCTAAAGCACTGGTGGGCCTAAGAGCAGGCTGACGTCCATCCCTCACCTTAAAGCTTCTGTCTTCAGATACTGAGATCATGATGTTTGCTTGCCAAGGACAAAATTCAGCTGCGGTCACTGGGCCCAGGTGACCCTCCAGCTCGACTAGCACGGACTGACTCTAGGAGAATTAGGGAGAGAGGATTAGCAGCTGAATTTTCCAGTAGTTATTATTATCAAGAAGTTATATGTGTATCACAGAAAACAGCTCCTGTTAATATAAAATCTCCTTTGCATTAATGCTTCTTCCAAATCTGGAACTATCTGTATATAAACCTAGAAATCAAAGTTCAGATGCCCAAGTAGGAGGGAAGCAGAAGCAGTCATGGGCCACATCAGCGGCAAATTTGATAGACGGAAAAATCTAACCAGAGCTGACCCTCAGCAAAGTTACAGAGCAGGCGTCTCCTCAGGGCCCCGCCTCCTGCTGCCCCATTGTGCACCTGTGCTGGGGACACGCCACCTGCCTTCTCCAGTTCCCCCTTTCCTCTGTCAGTCAAAAGGCACCTGCCCTGTGTTCCTTCTTTTTCAGCACCTGTTCTCCGTCTGGGAGTTGCTAAAACAGAACAAGACAGTGTTGACGTCTACTCGTAAGTTATTCCTCCTCCTTAAGCCCTCAGACCTCCCACAGCCCAAGCAGCTGGAATTCCACGAGGCAGCTTGACAAACAGGGCAGGGACAGCTGCAGGGGTCCCCAAAATCGGTCACCTCCCACTGAATATCCCTGTGGGACTCCAAGCGCCAGGGCAGGGCATTTTTCTTGAACTTTACAGCATCCAATTCAGACAAGAGAAATATCCCCTAATACACATGCAAGAAAAACGTGTGTGTATGCATGTGTGTGTGTGTGCGCATGTGTGTGCATGTGCGTGTGTGTACGTGCATGCGTGCGTGTGCGTGTGTGTGTGTGTGTAGTGACTTAACTTACAAATGGACATTTTACGCTGGAAGACCTTCTTTAATGACACAACCTATGGCCATTGGTAAACACAGTTTAGAATATGCTATTATTCCCGTCACCATCAGGTTATAAAATGTGTAGGAATGGGGAGAGTTATGAGACTGAGTGTTATGAAATATACTTTTCTATTCCCCCCTAATTTCTATAAAATAAAACTGGTCGATTGTCTGTGAATAACATAATATCCTGAAAAATACTTTGTGTCCTTTTGATATTTTATGGCTGTACTTCATGCTGATTCAAAGCACTTTTACTGAAAGGTGTTAGTCTTCCCCGGAAGTCTTTCAACACAGATTTCGTGAACCGCCTGCTGAGCGTTCTCTTGAAAGCATGTGAACCACTCGTGGGTCGTTTAATTACTAGACAGCTCACTTATTTGCGTCTGTCACAGTGTCTTCCCGGTACGTCTTCTTGCATTTCTCATGCTTGTCAGGAAGCGTGCACAGGCATGCACAGGTGTACAGAGGCGTGTGCACCTCACGAGTGGACGTCCGCTCCCTCACTCACTGCCACCGACACTACGTGTGTGGCTGAGCCTGACCCTGTGTTCCTCCTCCTCTCTCCAGGACACCTTATCTTCCTTCAAACACTAACAATTTTAAGTATCTTCCTAATTCATTTTGTTTTTCCTTTTCCTGGCATAAAGATATACATTTTTTTTCCATTTTAATGTTTAGTTTTATTATATATGGTATGGTGGCCCAATGCTAATCTATTTAACTGTCACAAATATTTGCACAAAACATTTTAAATATTTACAGCTCAAATACCAACTTATCCAGGAAGCTTTCACAGACTGTTAAACTAGAAACAACTAAAGCCCCTCTACCTAACTCCTAGAACACATCCCATTGTCTGTCTGTGACTTAACTTACGATGCTAACTTTTTTTCATGTACAAGCCTTAACTTCACAATTAGGTCAGAAACATTTGCCTAGCACACACTAGGCTCATGATAATCCATTAATAGTTTATGGCTCACCTGTTTCCCACCTGAATTTATTTCACCGGCTATAGCAAGAAAAGCTATAGCAGGGACATAGCTTGTTAACTGCGTAAATTTGGCAAATGCTCACAGCAGGCAAGACATGACACCAGCCTTTGGATAATCTCCAGAATGATCCTCAAGCAGCCCATGGATCCAGAGGAAGCAAGAAGCCCTCCTCCAAGCCCCAAGCCCCATGTCCCCCTTTCCAGCCCCTGACACTGTTCCCCGCGGGTCAGAGCTTACCAGTTCCATCAAACACAAGATTCAAAATCACGCAGCCTGGGAGGGCGACGTCCTTAACGTAAACTAATCCCAACTAAAGAGTAAAGGAGAGAGGTCTGATTCTCGACAGAAGGCGAATTTTGACAAAAGAGACCGAGAAAATCGCTCTGCGACCAGGGTTCTGCAGAGACGGCTGAAGCGGGAGAGCAACCAAGAAGCAAACGTCTAACTGAACGTGCAGTTTAAGGTCATCCCTGATGCACAGACTCATGCGAGGTTTTTACGATTTACGTAAACAGCAGTATCTGACTCTAGCGGCTTTCCAGCTGCAAGATAAAGATGCGTTTTCATTTGTTTTCCCTATAGCATCTTTACGCAAATACACCGGATTAAAAATACTGTTTAAAATAAGACAGAAAAGTAAAAAGGAAGGCAGAAAGAAAAATAAAGGCAGGCAGGGTCTCAGCAACCAAGGGGCTTCAGGCCCCATTAAACTGCGTGTGCGGTGTTAATCCTACCTGGATCTCCAGCATGAGTGTTTTGTTTCCAGCACACACTGCAACAACGCGATCATCCGGACTAAATGTTAAACACAGCACTCTCCCCGGAGGCGTGCCCATGACAGTCCCTCGAGGGATCAACCCTAAATGGAGTTCCAGTCATTAGTGTCTGTCATCAACGCTCTCAACGTCGCATCAACATAGTGAGAAAAGCACAGACAACTACACAGGATAACAAGCTCTGATATAATTTTGGTTCTTTGAGAGTATAAGAAACACTGAACATAAAAGTTCTTCAGAGACTGTTTGGACTGTGGGACTCGTCCTGGGTAACTGATGCAGGAAGGAGAGCAGGTCTCTCCTCTGAGGGCCGTGTGCCCTGCACCTGGGGAGAGTCCTACATATTAAACTGCACATCCCAGCCCTTATCCCCTGAGTCCACCCCCAGGTCCTGGCTCATCTGCGTGGCCTGCTTTGGCCAGTGTCTTGTCAGCATGGACATACACCACAGAGGCCACGGGCCACCACCATGGCTGAGTCCACACAGACCCCCATCCATGTGCATCCTCAGGTGGTGAAATACAAGCACACCGCCCAGGCCCGGCTGTGCCCCAGCTCCTGTCCCTGACACTGGGGCACAGCCGCC